TTTTTGCAACAATATAATTGCCCAAATGATTTTTTTTTTTTTTTTGCAACATAACTAAAGTTGCAATATCATAAGTTTCAGTAACATTTGATTCATTAACATAAGTTTCAGTAACATAATATGCAATGACTTAAATTCAGTTTCCGCTCATTCGTTTTTTTACTAGAACGGGATAGGGAAAAGAAAAATAATCGCGTAAGCAAACCCGTTAATTTTATAAATTTGGTATGAGTTTAGCATAAACTAATTTATTTAAAACAATGTGTTTTAGTGTGCTTAAATTAAATGCTTTATTCAGTTATTCAAATACAGAAAACTACTCGTTGTTTCTTGTAAAAATTATTTTACATATTCGTAATTATAAAAAACATTTATAAAATATTTTCTACCAGAAAAAAATCCTCAAAACATATATTAAAAATGTCAAATCGTTTTATTAAAATCCAGCTTTTTACAAAACCCCTTTGTAAATTAAAAATTATCAAAAAATACAACCTGATAATAAGTTTTGTTTTGTTTTGATTTACTTGTAATAGTTTGTAGCATGAGCTGCTGTTGGAGCATCGGTTAACACGTTTCGGTTCAACTCAATCATCCGACCGAAAACCTTAGTAAATTCTTTTACCCACAATGCGTTGTCGTGCGCAAATTGAAGAGCGTGTCGATGAGCAAACGAATGTTGACACGGATTTGTTTTAGAAGTTGGAGTGCAAGATACCGCTCCGTTTTCATCGGTTGGCTTGATAATCCAAGAGTTTGCCATATCTGAATTCAAAAGTAACGGTGTCCTTTCAGACTCAGGCAGTTTATCATTTGGTATTGGGTGACTTGGTAACTGCCACTGTCTTTTTGTTCCATTGATGGTTACTTGTATCCATGGTACAATATCAATAATCATTCTATAATAAGCGTTGTCAAGAACGCTTGTTGGAGCTAACGTGTTTGGACCCTGAGTAACTGTCGAAAATCTTTCATCAACAAAAGTTCCTACAAAACCAGTGTTTTCCAACTCACATCTTCCTAACGTGTGCGCTCCTAAAAGGGCTACAGCTTCTCTAACGTTAAAGTTAAATTGGTCTTTAAAAAATTTAAAAGTTTTTTGCGTACCGTCGGTGCCAAGTGGCGGTTTAACGCTTTGAACTTGATTAGGAGAGGTTTCACAATCTTCTCTGCCAACTTTAAAGTACTTTAATCCTAAGTATTTTACTGGAGCGTCAACAGTCGACCTAGTTAGGGCAACCACAGCGGCTAAAGCGTAGAAATCTGCTCTGGAAATTTTTCCTTTATAAGATAAATCGTATAAGGAATCAAGACGATCAGTTGTATCTTTTAAGCCTGCATTTCCCCTGTTTGTATGATCGATGCATCCATCACAATTGTTTTTGCCAATGCAATCGTGAAATGCTAAACGAACGCAACCAGCAATCATCGGTAAGTCTCTGTTTACCTTAACAGATTCAATTAAAGTTAAAAGGTCGGTTTTTGCTTTTTCGAAATCTTCAAATGTCGGTATAATTTGAATTGTTTCGATATATGTTAAAAGCAGCGTAACACACCAAAATCCAGTTGAGAAGAGCATGGCTATAACATAAAATAAGATAAATATATCATATAAAATAACAAAGTTAATCACATAAAATAGTTGTGTAAAACAACAAATATGAAAAAATATCGTATCTACTATTATAGTAATATTTTATGACGTGCTCTAAGCTGAAATTAAGGGTTGTCCATAAAGTACGTACGTTTTTATTTCGATAAAAATAAAGTCCCTTTATTTCGATGAAAATAAAGTCCCTCCCCCGTCTTTGGCTAAAAGTACGTAGGCTTTTAACTTACATACCCAACATTTTTGTGATATTTTTTTAATTTCGTGTCTTCTTACTTTCAAAATCGATCGCCTCCCCTCCATTTCAAATACTTCATTTGCAGACCCCCTCTACCCCCATTCAAGCATACGTACTTTATCGACATCGCTTTTATAAATAAACATAAAATGTGAGTATATTTATATAAACTTATAATGAATATTTAGTATTTGTAAAACAGTTTTGATTATTATAAATATAATATAAAATTTGATAATAATAATAATATATAATATTATAAACTTTGATAATCTTACCGATAACTTTTATCCTATAATTTTTGGTTGGTTTATATATTTGTTGAACTTTATATATGTGTGAAGCTTTGTATTTAGAATTCGCTTTCGATGCCATTTATAAAAAGGTCAAGTTCATTATCAAATAAATTTGGCAACGATTTTCAGACAAATTAAGGAAGTATTAAAAAATTATTGAGGAAGTATTGGCACGATAACTAAAATTTAATTTTATTAAAGTTTAAAACGTTAGAAATGTAAAAAAGCAACTAAAGTTCAGAATTTTATTTTTTTAAACAAATACATAATAGAATCAAATAACAAAAAAAAAAATACATAATTGAAATAAGTAATCCATAGTAATAGCACAATACCCGAAAGGTATTTTGCAGAAATGGAGGGAGGGATGAGATTTCTTCTAAAAATTTAGTCCGCAAAGAACAAATACGTTCACCACAAAACTCGTTTACAACCAACGTAACACTTTTAGAATCAGTTTCTTTAACAATTGCAAGTTAGAAAAAATGTTAACTGCTGTTGTCTAAATTTGTGTTCCTGTATATGTTGTTAAACATGTATGTATGTACGTATGTATGTATGTATGTATGTATGTATGTATGTATGTATGTATGTATGTATGTATGTATGTATGTATGTATGTATGTATGTATGTATGTATGTATGTATGTATGTATGTATGATACATACATACATACATTCATACATACATACATACATGCATACACGTATGTATGCATGTATGATACATACATACATACATACATACATACATACATACATACATACATACATACATACATACATACATACATACATACATACATACATACATACATACATACATACATACATACATACATACATACATACATACATACATACATACATACATACATACATACATACATATATGCAAACATACATATTTACATACATACATACATACTTCCTCGATTTGTCTGAAAATCGTTGCCAAATGCATGTATGTATGTATGTATGTATGTATGTATGTATGTATGTATGCATGTATAAAACGATTTGACATTTTTAATATATGTTTTGAGGATCTTTTTCTGGTAAAAAATATTTTATAAATGTTTTTTTTAGTTATGAATATGTAAAATAATAAATTTTCAAGGAACAACGAGTAGTTTTTGGTATTTTAATAACTAAATAAATCATTTAGTTTATGCAAACTAACCTACACTGTTTCAAATAAATTAGTTTATGCTAAACTCATTCCAAATTTATAAAATTAAAATTTTTGGATCATTAGTATCAATTTATATATAATTTAGAATTGCTGCAAAATATAATTTATGCAAAAATATAAAAAATTAAATATGAGTTACCACTCATTTGTTTTTTTTTTGGGAACAGGCAATGGAAGGAAAAAATAATCACGCAAGCATGCGTAGTATAAGTTTTAACTTGTCCGAAGGTAAACGGGTATGCTCACGCAATTATTTTCCCTATTCCGTTCTCGTAAAAAAACGAATGAGCGGAAACTGAATTTAAGTCATTGCATATTATGTTATTGAAACTTATGTTACTGAATCGTATGTTACATACATAACTTGCAAAAAAAAAAATCATTTGGGCAATTATATTGTTGCAAAAAAAAAAGTCGTTGTTTTAAAAAAAACTTTTTCTGAACAACTTAATGCAACTGATTATGGATAGCACTCATTTATTTTGACATAAAAACGTGAATTACTTTTATGCGTAAACTACTTTACATAACTTATATAAAAAATATAAAACTTACATTTAAAAGTAATTCGTTTTTGTTTTTTTACATAAATTATATTACATAAAAAATTTAATTACTTAAACTAAGTTATTTAAATGAGTAAACTGTTACTTGAAAAAGTAATTTACTTTCACAAGTAAAAGTTATTTGCATTTTTACTATTACTTGTAAATGTAACTTACTTTTAATGGTAAGTCGTGTAAAGTAACTTACTTTGAAAAGTAATTTTTGTTATAATTATGTAAAAAATTTACATCGAAATGTAATTTATTTTTTATATGTAAAAAAAAGTGAAGAAGTAAACTTTCGTACTTAACTTAAAAACATCAAACATAACATTTACTTTACAAAGAAAAATAAAACGACATCATGACAACAATTTGCTTTTATGTGTAAAAGTAACTAATTAGCAAAAACAGCTTACATAATAATAATTTGAAAAAAATGGTATTTACAATTACAAATAAAAGTAAACTTTCTCTTTGAAATTTTATACTTTACTTTGTAAGTAAATAAAATGTGGGTTATATTAACTACTTTCTTAAAGAAATTTCATGTTGATTTAACATAACTTTTGAGATAAGTAGCGTAATCAGTTCCATTGACTTTTTGAGGGCACTTCTAGGTAATACTTCAGGTAATACTCTGAAGTGTGTGGGCAGTGTTTGTGGTGGGGCATCGGGAAAGAGTTTTTTTTTCACGCATATTATATAAGGTAGAGAGCCTATATATTCAGAGAGGCGACATACGTGTGATCGTTTTTGATTATTTGTTCGATTTTTTTAGTTTTTAACGCCACGTTTTTGACAAAATATTCAAATTAACTTGAATACATACTAATAAACATTTTTTTTGAAAATTTTATGTTAAACGAAAATAATAAATAAACGTTATCGTGAATTTCCTGAGTTTTGATTTAAAAGATTTTAACATGTAAATTATCTTTGATATTTTAATTATCATATTCAGCTTTAAAAGATTTTCTTTGTTAAGCATTTATTTTTGTTATAGAGTTAAATTTTCATTGCTGATCATTTGCAGCCTTTAAAAAGAATTTTAAAAAGAATTTTTTTAAACCTCTCTAAACTCTTTCTGTAAGATTATTAAAAAAATTCATTTTTCGTTGCAATAAAATCAAAAAATACTAGCTTAGTAAAAAAAGTACGTAAAATTGTAGTTTTAAGTTTTATTGTTCCTGTGCTTTTAAAATAGTAATAATTTTAGTATATATGTCATGGTATTTAAAGTTTTCCACTCCTTATTTCTTTTTTCTTTTTTTTTTTATGTTCTTTAATACATTTTAAAATATTTTAAAATAATATAATAATAAAAACAATTACAACAAAGATTTTAAACATACATATATATATATATATATATATATATATATATATATATATATATATATATATATATATATATATATATATATATATATATTTGCTTTTTCACATTTCTAGCGTTTTCTAGTTGCTTTTTTACATTTCTAACGTTTTAAACTTTAATAAAATTAAATTTTAGTTATCGTGCCAATACTTCCTCAATAATTTTTTAATACTTCCTTAATTTGTCTGAAAATCGTTGCCAAATTTATTTGATAATGAACTTGACCTTTTTATAAATGGCATCGAAAGCGAATTCTAAATACAAAGCTTCACACATATATAAAGTTCAACAAATATATAAACCAACCAAAAATTATAGGATAAAAGTTATCGGTAAGATTATCAAAGTTTATAATATTATATATTATTATTATTATCAAATTTTATATTATATTTATAATAATCAAAACTGTTTTACAAATACTAAATATTCATTATAAGTTTATATAAATATACTCACATTTTATGTTTATTTATAAAAGCGATGTCGATAAAGTACGTATGCTTGAATGGGGGTAGAGGGGGTCTGCAAATGAAGTATTTGAAATGGAGGGGAGGCGATCGATTTTGAAAGTAAGAAGACACGAAATTAAAAAAATATCACAAAAATGTTGGGTATGTAAGTTAAAAGCCTACGTACTTTTAGCCAAAGACGGGGGAGGGACTTTATTTTCATCGAAATAAAGGGACTTTATTTTTATCGAAATAAAAACGTACGTACTTTATGGACAACCCTTAATTTCAGCTTAGAGCACGTCATAAAATATTACTATAATAGTAGATACGATATTTTTTCATATTTGTTGTTTTACACAACTATTTTATGTGATTAACTTTGTTATTTTATATGATATATTTATCTTATTTTATGTTATAGCCATGCTCTTCTCAACTGGATTTTGGTGTGTTACGCTGCTTTTAACATATATCGAAACAATTCAAATTATACCGACATTTGAAGATTTCGAAAAAGCAAAAACCGACCTTTTAACTTTAATTGAATCTGTTAAGGTAAACAGAGACTTACCGATGATTGCTGGTTGCGTTCGTTTAGCATTTCACGATTGCATTGGCAAAAACAATTGTGATGGATGCATCGATCATACAAACAGGGGAAATGCAGGCTTAAAAGATACAACTGATCGTCTTGATTCCTTATACGATTTATCTTATAAAGGAAAAATTTCCAGAGCAGATTTCTACGCTTTAGCCGCTGTGGTTGCCCTAACTAGGTCGACTGTTGACGCTCCAGTAAAATACTTAGGATTAAAGTACTTTAAAGTTGGCAGAGAAGATTGTGAAACCTCTCCTAATCAAGTTCAAAGCGTTAAACCGCCACTTGGCACCGACGGTACGCAAAAAACTTTTAAATTTTTTAAAGACCAATTTAACTTTAACGTTAGAGAAGCTGTAGCCCTTTTAGGAGCGCACACGTTAGGAAGATGTGAGTTGGAAAACACTGGTTTTGTAGGAACTTTTGTTGATGAAAGATTTTCGACAGTTACTCAGGGTCCAAACACGTTAGCTCCAACAAGCGTTCTTGACAACGCTTATTATAGAATGATTATTGATATTGTACCATGGATACAAGTAACCATCAATGGAACAAAAAGACAGTGGCAGTTACCAAGTCACCCAATACCAAATGATAAACTGCCTGAGTCTGAAAGGACACCGTTACTTTTGAATTCAGATATGGCAAACTCTTGGATTATCAAGCCAACCGATGAAAACGGAGCGGTATCTTGCACTCCAACTTCTAAAACAAATCCGTGTCAACATTCGTTTGCTCATCGACACGCTCTTCAATTTGCGCACGACAACGCATTGTGGGTAAAAGAATTTACTAAGGTTTTCGGTCGGATGATTGAGTTGAACCGAAACGTGTTAACCGATGCTCCAACAGCAGCTCATGCTACAAACTATTACAAGTAAATCAAAACAAAACAAAACTTATTATCAGGTTGTATTTTTTGATAATTTTTAATTTACAAAGGGGTTTTGTAAAAAGCTGGATTTTAATAAAACGATTTGACATTTTTAATATATGTTTTGAGGATTTTTTTCTGGTAGAAAATATTTTATAAATGTTTTTCATAATTACGAATATGTAAAATAATTTTTACAAGAAACAACGAGTAGTTTTCTGTATTTGAATAACTGAATAAAGCATTTAATTTAAGCACACTAAAACACATTGTTTTAAATAAATTAGTTTATGCTAAACTCATACCAAATTTATAAAATTAAAATTTTTGGATCATTAGTATCAATTTATATATAATTTAGTATTGCTGCAAAAATAGTTTATGCAAAAATATAAAATATTAAATATGAGTTACCCCACCCTTTTTTTTTTTTTTTATGGGACAGGAAATGGAAGGAAAAAATAATCACGCAAGCATGCGTAGTAAAAGTTTTCACTTGTTCGAAGGTAAACGGGGTATGCTCACGCGATTTTTTTTTTTTTTTCTCTATCTCATTCTTGTAAAAAAAACGGATGAGCGGAAACTGAACTTATGTTATTGCAACTTTAGTTATGTTGCAAAAAAAAAAAAAATCTGTCTTTGGGGTCGTCCATAAAGTACGTACGCTTTTTTTTTGATCACACCTCCTTCCCCCTTCTTCCCCCGCATTTGCAATACGCTTTTTTGAGTATCCTCCACCTCCCTGAAAAAACATACGCTTTTAACCTGTTTATCTAATATTTTATGATAATTGTTATAATTTAGTGTCTCTTTTCTTTTATAATTGACCCACTGCCCTCACATCTCATATACGCTATTTGCAGAACCCTTCTTCTCCTCCGAGCGTACGTACTTTATGGACGAACCCTTTTTTGGGGAATTATATAGTTACAAAAAAAAAGCCGTTGTTTAAAAAATTTTTTTTTTTTGCAACTTAATGCAACTGAGTGGGTATAGCACTCTTATTTATTTTGACGTAAAAACGCGAATTACTTTTAAGCGTAAACTACTTTACATAACTTATATAAAAATATATAACTAACATTTGAAAGCAATTCGTTTTTTTTTTTTACATAAATTATAAAACATGTAAAACTTAATTACTTAACTTAAGTTTTTTAAATGAGTAAACTGTTACTTGAAAAAGTAATTTACTTTCACAAGTAAAAGTTATTTGCATTATTATATGTTTTTTACTTTATTATACATGCAGTTATAGTATTTATATAACAGTAAAGTTATAGTATTTTACATTGTACAGAATGTACATCATGTTAGTACTGGTCTAAAAATTATTGATGTCCCTAAAAACTTTTTTGTTTTTTATCTTTAATTTTTGGTACAGTCTTTTTTTTCCTGTAGTTATTCTAGAATTGTCAACATGTATAAGAAACTTCTTGACCAAATTCTTTATTTCAGAATCAGCGATGCATTACCACAACAGCAATCGCTGTTTGGAGCTATAATTTTTGACTACAAAGAAGAGATAGAGGTTTTATTATCTTATGACAAATTATACATCCTGCTTGTTTCGTTTGTAAGAGAATCATTTACAACCAATGGTCTATTTCTTCTAGAGAAGAAGTAGACCATTGGTTGTAGGTGAGTTTCCTTGTGAACCAGGCAAAGAAAATTTAAACCTTAACCAACGTTTTTTGTTATTTTCTGCTGAACATTGAGCCGTTTCCAACTCGTCCGTCAATGTTTTCTTTTTGTTTATAAGCCTTTGTTTTTTTTGGTATGATCTAGTTCTTTATTTGCATTCTTTATTACTACTCAACTCACTAAAATACTAAAATACTCACAATTAAATAAATTATTTAATTTTTTACAACTGCTTGATAGTAAAAGAAAGCGGCGTAAATACTCTGCTACATGGTTGACGTGTTCACTCAATGCAGAAAACTGCGTAGTTGAAATCAATTGATTTGTTTTGTCATCAAAATGCCAGCTCTTTAAGGTTGATGTCAACTTTGTAATGACTCTCCTTTTTACATAAAACATGCTTGCAGTACGATATAATTTTAAATTTAAATAATACCATATAACTAGAATTTTTTTTCAACCTAATCTTAAATAGTAAGTAAATAAAGGCTAAAAACCAGTGACTGTTTTAGAAAGTAATAACGAAGTCGACGTAATAAAAATACCGTATATTAACATGTCTAAAGTATCAAATGATGTCCCCTATTAGCGTTAAAAATTATGGTTTAAATAAATATAGTCCAAAATGCAGGAAATCTACGGAGTGGACATTTGTGTATACAATTTTGTACACAAATTTTTAAATTTCAGTTGTGAATATCAAATAAAATTCTAGTTTAAATTAACCATAAATACTATACCCACAGTGCTGTTTTTTATGTTAATTGCACTACGATTGCATTTTTAGAGCTTTAGGACAAAATTTTATTAACGAAGTGAACCGAATGAAAGAATGACTCTTCATGAATGAATATGAGTATTTAAAAGCTTCCATACCTTGTTTCAAACCACAATAAAATTCAGATTGTCCTCTAGTAGCTTTTACAACATTTTCAATGAGCTTTAAAGACATTTTTCAATGAGCTTTAAAGACATGTTTTATTCTATAAATATTTAAACTCCGTTTCAGAAAATTAAAAGTCAGTTTTAATTACATAGGTGCAATATTTTTCACAAAGATATATTGTAATGTTCTTCATTTTTTGTACTAACTGATTCAATGGATTTGAATGTTTTTCACAAAGACATATTGTAATATTCTTCATTTATTGTTCTAACTCATTCAATTGATTTGAATAAGAAAGCTTTTCCATTTACCAATTCTATATTCCTTATGAAATTTGATATATAGTCAGCAGATATCAAGCAATGCGATACAATTTTCGAATCAAAGTTATTTAAGTTTTTCTTCTTATTTTCTTTGTTATCAATACTTAAAGATATTTTAGTTCCAATTTTTGTATAAATAACCAAATCTGAAATTCTTTTTGATATCACTTTTTGTAGATTCCTTAATTCCATTGACATGCTATTTTAGTACATGCAGGATTGCACCAGTCTTTTGTATTTGAATATTCAATTTTATATAAAACCATACAGCATAAAAATATAACTTTTTATCTTGGTTTTATATAGTGTTCATAAATAGCAATAAGACCAAAAAAAAAATTACTTTTAAAGTACCAAAAAGTCTTATGATTCTTATATTTACCAATAAAATTTTTTTTAGAATAAAAACAAAAAATATTTCCTATAATCCTATAGTTACAAATTGGCATTTGGTAAGATTATCAATTTGTTTTTTTATTTCAACTCCATTTGGATCTGGAATTCCATACTTCTGTAGTAATAGTTCGTAATCAAGTTAAACTCTTTAACGCTGATCCTGAACAAAATATATAATTTCAAAATTAAGTTCCATACCATCAAAAACTGTTAGTAACAGGTCAATATGAAACGTTAAAGTTGTGAAAGAATTTAACTTTTTCCTACGAACTGCTAGTAAACATCCTGGTGCTGAATTAATCTTTTTATTTGCCATTAACCTAAAAAACTGGACAATATCATCATGGAATCGTGTATCTTGCGTGTCTGAAGGATAAAGAGCACAAAATCTATGCGTGTGTACGAAGGATTAATAGCACACAAGGATTTGGCAGCAGTAAAAATGACAGGAACGGCCGTGGTTGGAAAACTTTTTAGAAAACCAAGCTCTGCAGACTCGTTAGTAGAAAGCTTTTCTTTTAAGCACATTTTTAATTTTTCAATGATAGGAAAAAACTGTTTAATTCTAAATTCTTTATTGCAACTTAGAAACAAATCATTCTTCATTTTATGTTTGACGTTTTTCATCTTTTTCTAGAACAATTGATTCTAATCTCTCAAGGAAATGACCGTAGTTTCCACTCTAAAACTTGAATAGAAATGACTCTTGCAGATCACCTTGTTGTAGCTTTTAATGGTAATACTTCTGTTTTTTCTTGTACCATTATTAAGACCAGAACAATTTATCTGTCATCTGTCATGAGTTGAAGAAGCACAGAAATTATAAAAATATTTAAGAAACACAGAAAAATTGTATGCAATATTTACACCAAATAAATGTAGAAAATATGCTGCACAAGGTACAAAGTCAAAGTTTTGGTTGTTGTTTTTCAGTTGTGTTGTAAGCCGTTATATCTTCCCGACATGTTAGATGCATTTTCATATGAATGACCACGAGTATTGTTAATATTTAAAACAAGTTTTACTAATCTTTCCTTGACTGCATTTGCCTTAGCCTTTCTATTGCGTCCACAAGAAAACACAAGTCCAATAAATTTTTCTTTCACAATAGTATCGTTACTTACATGTTTGATGATTATTTTAAGTTGGTCTTAGTGTGCAATCTCTGGTAATCAGTCACCCAGCCTGGACACATACGTTAGTAAAATGTTAAAATAATGTTGTAAGTTACGTTGGCAGAACATCGGTTGCCAAAGTTGTTATTATATCATTTTGGTTACAAATGCGATGCACAGCGGGGTGCTCGATCAATTTAGGCGGCCAAAAGTTTTTTTTAACCTTTAATTGAAAAAATTTAATTTTTTAGGAGAGACAAGTAGAAATTGAAATTAAAAGATTAAAAAAAAAGATTTAAAAAAAATATTTGCATGATAGAATCCTCATTTTTATTTTACATTTTACTAAAGTGTTAACGCATAAAATAAGAACAAACCTATTATAGCTGGTACAAAATTGAATTGCTCTTATCCTAACTTTCAATCTGCGTTGGTTTAGTGTTATTTTAAAAAATCGAAACCTCGGTTTAGTGTTATTTTAAAAAATCGAAACCTCGGTTTAGTGTTGCTTTAAAAAATCGGGAAGCATTCGTAATTACTATATAACTCTTATTAAGCCGCGGGTTATGTTAAAAAGAAAAAACGAAAGGTTTATTTAGAATATTTTATATTTGAGCTCAAAATAAATACTATAAAAAAGGCACAATTTAAGTAGATGATGTCAAAAGCTAAAGTTCTTCATCAAAAGACATCTCTGTTTGCTTTGAAGATTCGTCA